TCTTCCCCAACAATATTATATATGATTTCTAGTAGATGTGATTATTTTGTAATATTATTAAACAAAGTTTCTCTTAGTAAACGTCATGCTACCTTTTATTTTGAAATATGGTCATATCTTTGATATACCCAATTTAAATGCTGATATACCTGGTAGGATTGCTGACTTGGACTAGAAAATTAAATTTGGAATTTTGGGCAAAGAGCAGTTTTACTCGAAATTATAAATACAAGATTTGTATTTATTATAATTAAATAGTTATCAAGTAGGGGAGAAGTAAAAAATATATATATAATTTATTTAAAAAAAGAATATGCTGTCAAATTTTGAACAGTGGTCCACAACAGAGAGATAGATGCTGATGAGACAAGATGTAGATATTTTCCTTAAACTATTTCTATTGTATTTGCATGGTTTATTTATTGGTTTAGGTATACCATATAACAATAGAGTGAGTATTCAAATCTATAACTTTAATTTTAAGAGATGCTTATAGTGCAATGATTTTATTAAGACACGATTCCAGAACCCAAATCCCAAACTCTAAAATTCACATTAACTAAGATTAAATCTGAGATTGTAGAAAATACTACAACGGCCAACTTTTACATATATAAATCTATAGAATAAGTTGTTATTTTCCGTGTTAAGGGATTGTCATGGTTGGCGGTTGTTGTGGTGACTTTTGATATGTGTAGTCACCGTGTCCAGGTCAGGACACGGTGATTTTCCATTGTATTTATCGCCCGGGCCATACGTACCTCCACCTTTGTTTATGAGGGTTCATTACTTATTCGATTTCTTTCAGGAAGTCTGGGACTAAATGATCGATGTTTCCTCCACTAGTAATACTTAGCTTCATGTGAACGCGAGTTGTGAGTTCTTCGAAGCTTCACGATTTTATACCCTCGAGAATATAAAGAAGTCCCAATGCATGCCACATAATATAACTTGCAGAAACATATTTAGGAGATTTAAGCATACTGTTGATGGAAATTATTTACCAAAAAAGGCACAAATAAGTCATCGAAGGTTATCTATCATATATGCTATTTTGCGATTCCATTTATCTTTTTTTCTTCCTTCAAAGAAAAATAAATTTTGTTGATAAGATTCTATTGTGTCCAAGCTTGTAAGTGTCACATGTACATGTACATGTATTGATTATGATTACTTAGCTGCCTCATGTGAGAGAAAAAAATAATATTTACAATGGAAAGTCACGACACACAAGACGCAAACATATTTCTATAAGAACAATTGCTCTCTAATTGAATAATTTCCATTCATCATGTGAAATCAAAAGAGAATGCTACAGATCTTTTATCGAAAGGATTCTCAAGCGAGTAAGTTGCATATACATCGAGGGAAATAGGTCTAAAGCATATGAAATGAAAGTATATCTCGTGTAACTAAACCTGATTGACTGGAGACCCCAAGATCTAGGTTCAATAGACAAACTGGCTCGACAATTCATAGTTGACACACTAAAAAACTTATAGTTTGTTCCCATTTTTATGATGTTATGTGTTTATGTGTGTGATTTGTTGATATCAAGGTGATATTGTTGGGGGCCATCTAGGCCCGACTCGTCAGGATTACGTCGATGATGTTAGATCGTATGACAACCCTAGAGGGGGTGAATAGGGTTTAATGAAACTTTATAAACTTTTTTGCACGATGGACTCAATTTAAACAATTTTGTAAGCATTTTACAAATAAATAATTTTAATACACAATTAATCAACAAATTATAAATATAAACACCCTAATTAATCCAAATGTAAATATTGAACATAGTCATGAACAACAAATTATAGCAATTAATTTTATGCAATTTATGATAAAGAAAATTAATTGCAAAAATTAAATAGTAGAGGGTTAGAGAAAATGACACCGAAAATTTATAGTGGTTCGGCAACAATCGACCTACCCCGCTTCCCAAGCTCTTATTGGATGTTCGATTGAAGAACTTGACTCTTTCCACGACTTAAAGTCAAACTGGTATAATGTTTTTTTTCTAGGAGCAAGAACAAACCCGATCATTTCCATGGTTCAGGATCAAACCATTAGAAATGCTCTTTTTCGGGATCAAGAGCAACCCTTACAAAGAATATGGAAATTTGAGAACAAACTCACGAACTCTTTAAAAATAGTAGATATATAAATTTTTGCTCACAAATTTGTAAGAAAAATCCTAATAAAATAAAGCGGTCAAATGATTAAGAAACAATAAAATTGAATATGTCAAAAGATCTCTCAAATTAAATATCCCTAAAGATTTTAGAAGATTAATAATGTAGAAATTGGACACAAAATCGGGGAGTAGATTGTTGTTGATTTTGGGAGGGAATAGTTGTTTAAATAGGAGGCAAAGATATTGAAATTTATTCGAAATCAAAATCAATTTTGACCATCTTTTTTTTTAATTTCTTTTCTCTGTCTTTTTTCCTTTCCTTTCTATTTATTTTCTTTTTGTTTTTTTTCTTTTCATTTCATTTATTTCTTTCTCATTTCCTTTGTAAACTAAAAACTTCAGCTCGCCACGCGCCCTCCTCTATTGTAGGATTCAGTTACCACATCATCGTCATTTGAATTTTTTATTTTTTTTAACTTCATTCGGCTATAACTTCTTCTTTTCAGCTTCGATTTGGGTGATTCAAAAGACATTGGAATCATTGTATCGAGCTACACGCTATGAACACTTCAAAACATTAAAATTATCAATAAATAAAATTAGGTTTTTTATCATCAAAATATTGATTAATTAATTAAAATTAATTAACTTGAGCTTAAGGGCCAAAAAACCAATAGATGAACCTCCCGATCTTGGTCGACATTTGGGCATTCATCGTTCGTACTTTATTTCGGAACCCCGAGCTTCTTCAATATGGGTTTCCCACTTTTCGCTTTCCTACCTGGCTGATAGGGCAGAAAGGGTTGGTTATGTCCCTGACTCCCCTGACCTTATGCAGAGTAGGAGGGATAGGAGCTGCCTTGTCAGCAGCCTTGTCGCGTTGATGCTCCTCCTAATATGACTCCTTGTCCTAGGTCATTGTCTGATCGTTTCAGTGAGAAGAACGAGCTTTCATTTGGCTTGAAAATGTTGTTTCCACAAACGGCGGCAACTATTCATGACGATAAATTTTAGAGAGGTCCACGTGTCCCTCAGATTGGTGTGTATGTTAGGGAGCAAATGAGTCTGCAACTAGAAAACTCGACGCTGGTGCGGCGCCCGCCTAATGCAATTTGGCGCTTAAGTCAGTAATCAAATTAAAGAAAATAACAGTAGACACCTTAAGATTTCAATGATAGATTTTTCATCTACTTGGTGTTGGTGTGAGTCATTCCCTTTTATAGGCGTGGATGGCCAACTTGGAAGGATGGCGATTGTGGGGTATAGGCGCACCAAGCTGTACAAGGCTTTGACGGAGGGGCAAATGATCCCGACAAACCATGGATTGTGCCTCCATCGGTAGGTCTTTGTCTTTGCAACTTGCAGGTTTCAAGCTGCAGTCATCAACCTCTCCCTCGTACAGAAGTGGTGGTACCACACCTATACGCCTGCACATAGTACGGTGATAACTGCTTGTTGTCTCGCACCTCGCTATCACTCCCATTTTCGGACGCGTGTTGTTATGGAGAACAAAAACGACCCGAAACGGGACAGGGAGTTGAAGCCTGAGATCATCAATTGGGGGAGACCGGCCCAT